CTAGTCACTGTTCTGGACTTGAAGCTTGGCCACACGGGGCCATATGTGTAAGGACAATAGCTCCTAAACAAGTACATAGGCATTCAAGTCTAGAAATCTTTGTTTTAACCTATCATTAATTTAATACTCACTGTCTTCTAAGCACTTGGCTTTTCTTTCATTTGAACCTCACAGCAGCATGACAAAATAGGTACTATTATTAGGACCTCATTTATAGATGAGGAAACATAGCTAAGAAAGCGCTGCTAATTTGCCCAAGGCCACACATCTAAACGGCAAAGCCGCAGTTTGAAACTAGACCTAACTGAGGTGATAGTAAAATTGCTCCCACTTACCAAGGGCTCATTATACAGCAGGCACTGTTAAACTCACCACAGTATCCTAAGAACCTAAGCAGTAGGTTCTCTTATTATCCATACTTTATAAAAGAGGAAACTGAAGCTTAGAGATACTAAGTCAATTTCCCAAAGTCACATAGCTGGGTAAGTGGCAGGATAAAAATTTAGAGCCAAGTTTGCAAGTTCCCAAACTCTCATAATATTATCTTGTGCTTAAAATATAGGGTTTTTTTATATGCAGCAGCAATGGTCAAACCCTTATTTTAATACCATGTCTAATTTTATATATCACAGCTTCCATGTGCAAAGAGATGTCTTGTGTCTATTATCAGATATTAAAAAGGTTCTACCAACCTAGCAGTAACTGACTTCCCTTATTTCCAGTGAGTGCAGAGTAAAAGGAAATGAACTTCTGGCTCTCTTCAGACTTCAGGAGTGGAAAATACTGACCAGTTAGATTGACCTTTTGGGAGCATGAAAGACAAGTGTGCAGGACTGGGTGAAGCTCTTTTGACATCTCTATTCTCCCCCACTTCAGATTTTCTTCTGGCTTCCTCTTTGACTTCTCATGCTTAGTTCTCAGACTGAAACTTATAGAAGCATGTGGACAGGACACAGGGACTTCTAGAATTCCAAGAAGTCTGCATTGCTTTTGTATACCTGATTATCCTAAGCTGAGTCTAAATACTCTAGAAACGAGTTACCCCTTGGGAATTCTTCTAGCCTCATCTAACGGTATATACCATGAACTTTAAGAGAGTTTCTCTCCTTTACATGCCAGAAAACCATCTCATTTGTTTGACGTGGAACTATCCATTCCTTACAAGTTGGGAAATGCTACTAGAGTGGAGAACTTTTAGACTTAGTGCTATTGAAAAGAGAGGAATTAGCCATTGTATGTTTTGTCCTCACCATCAATTTACCATTCCCTTTATCCTCTCCCTTCCCATACCTAATTCTTTATATGTGAAATTACACAGATAAGAAAATCCCACCTTATATATAGGGTGCTAGTTTCATTTATTCGGTATGAAACTTTGGAAACTGGTCTGCTTATGTAAGTTTTACAAGCATGTAACAGGTCACATGGAGGGAAACAAGGGAAGAGGACGGTTGGCTCCTCCCCACTGCAGTTTGCTGTCAAAGAATGGAGTAGTGAGATATAGATACTGTGGAGACTCATTAATCACAGTATTTGGTAAAGTCTGGGATCCCAAAGCTGAATATTTTTGGTAAAAGAGGAATAAGGAGTTAGAAGGGTATGAAAGTATACAAATGAGTTGGGGAAGGAGAAATGGTAGCAATAAAGAACAGGGAAAGGAAAAAAAGGATAGAAATAGAAACAAAAAGGTATTCAATACTAAAGAGCAGAAAAGGGAAAAGATAAGGGAAGAAATTATAAGGGAAGAGACTGGATTTAAAGAAATAGGCCAGAAAAAAGGTAGAGGGTATGGCATTTCTCTTGTGCTTGACTGGATGGGCTATTGGACTGTGAAGTTCTAGAGGAAGCAGAAGGCACACAGAGGGGGCTTCAGTGCTCAGTGTGCCCACGGTAGAGCATTTTGGGACTGCACTGGCTTAGTTAATCTGCTGACATCAGTGTGGGGTAATGACATCCTCCCCAAACCCTTTTTCAAATTTGTTTCATTTTAGGCTGTCAAAAGAAACGAGTCTTTAACAAGCCTGAACTTAGAAAAAAAAGCTCGCCTGAGAGAAGAAGCAACTCTGAAGGCCAAAACAGAGTAGCAGAGGTATCTGTGTTGGCTGGATTTTGAAATTGCAGGAATAATGTTGCAGCAATTAGCCTGTATTAAAAAATACGGTATGAGGATCCATTTCATGAAAGTATGGTTTGCACAGATTTGTAATTTCCCCATTCCTGAAATAGTGGGACAAATAAATTTCTTTAAAGAAACGACTTGTCTATATTTTTGTGGCTGTGATCTAGGTTAAATGCAGCCTTTCAGCTTTTTGGAGGAAATGAATGAAAAATGGGGCAAATTATTTAAACCTTAGTATTAACTCTTTAGAGAGATACCATATCTTTAATTTCCATTACCAAAGTGATTTTCTCTGCAGAAGCTAAATGGCTTGTAGTTCTATATTTCTGTGTATTCATTTCTAGAGAGATAAGGAAGGCCAGCTGCGTACACTGCCTAGGTGCATCTTGGAGAGCGTACCTCCCCAAATGTGGTGGTGCTTCTGAGAGTCCTGCAAAGCAGCCTGGTCAGACTCTTCCATCTTTGGGCATGCTGACAGACAGAGGCTTGTCAGAGAGCAGTCTTGTAAAAGGTTCCTTTAAGGTGATGAGAGTGGTCTGGCCACAAGTTTCTGAGAACTCAAATCCCAGCACCATGAAGTTGCTTGGGGCCATCAGTCACCTTTTCTACTCCATAGCTTAGAATTCCCAATTGGTCCTTTTCCTTTTGCCTTTACACTGAATTTCTCAATGATGAGTATCTTTCAAATACATTTTCTTACAAGTTTTGAAAGATAAGCATTTGCACGTGGTTATATATTTCATTTACATTTTGGGATGCCAAGCCATTTCATTTTTAGATATTGGATGCTGGATTCTATTTTAAGTATTTCATATATTCTCACATGCCTCATATTAATGGATGACATGGACAAGTTTGCATAGCCATCCCAACCTGCCAGTTGTCTCCAGAGGAGTATAACCGATAGAAAGTAATATATGCATCTGCATTAGAACTTGACTTAATAAACTACTAAGTGAAATGGAATATACCACATTTGATTTCATTATCTGATGATGTTGGAGATGTCTCTTGATACACTTTTAGAGTAAATGGACCTTAGCTTTTTAGATACCAACTTCTTTGATTTTAACCTATTTCTTTTAAAAGTAAGTAATTTTTCTTCATAGAACACTATCATTTTTAACTTCTAAATAAGTATTTTAAAGTGTTATCTTGGAGATTTATTGCAAAAAAAAAAAAATGTTTCATTAAACCAAAACTCACAAATGTTACTGTACAGCAAGAATTTTCATGATCATTTTTCATTTTGTCTCATTCTCCTATTCAGTTACTTAGAGTAACTACTTCTTTATGGGTTAAATATAAATTTCTTGGCCAGAATTTTGGACTGGTCTCTGTCCAATCCAAGTTTTCTCACTACCGTCACATAATACCTTCTTGACAGTCATTCCTTATTAATAACTCTAATACCTTATATTCCTCAGAACTTGTCAACAAATCAGACTTAATGAGCGCTATTTTAAGATACTAAAGGATACAAAAAAAGGCAGTTTACCCCTTTTACTTTCAATTATTGTTTTACTATTTTTTGCTTAATTTCTATATTTTTTTTCACGTTTATCATGTCTCTGTAGGTAAAGTGGGCAGAAACCATTTCCCACTTTTTATTTCCTATAAGCCCTGTCTGAATAAAGTTAATACACAAGCCTATGGTCAGATACTTTTTTAATAAACAAAAATAGTATGGGGACATGATTCCAAACATTTATTGAAAGTAGGCAAGGAGTGAATATAATTCATTGTCATTCATCAAACATTACCTTAATCCCTTATATATATAAATACTGAGAATACAAAATGAGTAAAACATACTTCTTTACAGAGCTCATAATTTATGGAAACATGGCCCATGAAACGGCTACAATACAAACTGGTAAAAGATATATTTTGAACTTTATATAACAGTCACTATAGAAAGAAACAAAACCTAACTCAGCTGTCAGTTGTGGTTCCAGTCAAGCAGGCAGTGCTGGTCCACAAAGTGGTGATTTCTGTTTGAAGCATGGGTAGGAGTTACTAGGTCAGACACATGGTGAAAGAGAACAGCCACACCATTTAGACATTTAGTTTGCTTGATAATCATGAGGCACAGTCTGACCAGGGTAGTGAGAAGTCCCTCAGCAAAATGCCATTTATAATGTTTTGGTTTACTTTCAGTTTTTATCTCGATACAAAATTTAAGATGTTTAACAGACTGAACCAATGACTTATTTTTCCCAATTTATGGACTTGATTCCATGGAACCATTTCATGTGTGAGTGGCCTCTGCCATACATCTCCATTCCATCACTATCCCAGGATTATGTTCTTAACTCATCTGATCTCCCAAATCAGGGGCACTCGAGTTATGCCAAACTCTGGCTCCCCTCACTTAATCAGTCATCCTGTTTTGTAAACCTTACTTTCAAATATTTCTCAAATACACTCAGAGGAACAGAGTGGGAACCTATTCAGGAATAGACATGAGTTAATACCAGACCTGAAGATTAAAAGTCAGAAGCCCTAAGTTCTAGACTTGCTTTTCCAGTTGTCTTGCTTTGTAAATTTAGGTTATAGGTCTTAAATCTTTTAATCTAAGACAATGGGTTTTTTGGTTGTTTTTAAGATTTCATTTATTTGTCAGAGAGAGAGAGAACACGTGAGCACAAGCTGGCTCCCTGCAGAGCAAGAAGCCCAATGCTGGACTTGATCCCAGGACTCTGGGATCATGACCTGAGCCGAAGGGAGGCACTTAATTGAGCCGCCCAGGCATTCCACCACAACCCCCCCTCCTTTTTTTTAAAGATTTTATTTCTTTATTTGCCAGAGAGAGTAAGACAATGTTAAAAAGAAACACAAAACCATACCAAAATTAAGAGAAACCATCTTTTTAAATACCTTTTTTTTTTGCCAATTTGGCTCTACTAGTTGATTTCTAAAGGGTTTAGTAGTTACTCATCCACAGTTTAATTGTTTTGTCATTTCCTAATGCTGCTGATGCAATGATGTTTTCTGTAGGATGACAAGCTGCTGAGATTACAACATCTGTATGACCCTGTAATTTCTGTACAATCTCTTTAGTCTGAAGGTTCCAAATGTAAACCAGATTATCTTCTGATCCAGACACAATCCATTTTCCACCAGTAACTGAAAAATTGGCAAATATGCAGTATTTCTCATTCTTATGACCAGTGTATGTTTTCAGACATCGGCCTCTGCTATAATCCCACAGTTTAAGAGTATTGTCCAAAGTTGCAATTAGAAGATACCGTCCGTTTGGAGAAAATTTTACAAAAGAGATAGGAGGGTTATCATCACCAACAAGTGTTTTTAAACACTGACCTGATGCAGCATCCCAAATTCTACAGACACCATCATAGCTACCTGACACAATCAAAGACCCACTACAATTAAAATGAACAGCAGAAACTGGGTCAGAATGAGCAGACAAAGTCTTAAGGCACTTTCCTGTTTTCACCTCCCATATTTTCACACTCTCATCAAAAGATCCTGAAATGATGAGATTGGATGGTGGATTGAAATTACAGCAAAAAACATAATTACTATGCCCCTTCAGCGTTTTCAAACATTTTCCAGATCTCACATCCCAAATCTTTAGCGTCTTATCATCTGAGGCAGAAACAAGGCGACTGGAATCTGATGACCAGGCAACATCCGATATTTCCAGATTGTGACCATGAAGTGTTTTCTCATACTTTCCATCATAGGCTCCCCAAATTATAATTACTTTGTCAGCAGAAGAACTTGCTAGCCATTCTCCATTAGGACTAAACTTAACCGATGATACTGCTTCCGTATGTCCCACGAGAGTAAATTTAAGAGCATAGTTTGGTTTTTCAGACATTTGCTTGTTCGGGTTGGCTGATGAGGGGAGAAGGCCCAACTCTGCTGCTCTAGCATCCCCTGCCTCCTTTGTCCCCATGGTTGTGAAGCTCCCAATTCAGTAGGTTAGGTAAGCGTCCGGCCCTGAACCAGGAAGCTCGATATTCTTTCTGCCCAGCAAAATGAAGATAAAAACATCAGCCTCAAAAATTAATAGCCTTTTAGTGATTATAATTTCCGGACTGTCTTTAAACTTCTCTATACAATGATTCAGCAGCACGGCTTGGACCTCTTTTTCCTCACTTCCTCCTTTGTGAACAAATACTTGATAAAAACATTAAAAGGGTCCAATGCGCTGTCGGCAAGTGAGGTATGTTTTGGATATTTTGTGAACGTGTAAAGCCGTGCAAAGTGAAGAGAGGCGTGGGTGACCTACAGGAAGTATTTTCTCCCCTCCCCTCCCCCTACCCCGAAACGTTTAGAACACTAAGCAATCCTACCGTAAGTCAGAGAGACTTTCGGTACTTGAGCATTAATGAATCACCGGCTTAAACGATTTCAGAAAGTTAAAAAAAAATAATAACTACAAACAAAAAAACCTGCGTAAGGATCATGAACTGTGGCCCGGCCGGCCGGTGGCCTGCAGTCGGCGGATAAACACTGGAGCACACGTTCGCGTCAATCCAACCCAGCCGGCAGGACAGCGGAGCGCAGGGGCACGTTAACTTCGAGCTGAGATGACCAATGGGAGAGGTCGGCCTGCGCTTGCGCAAAGGAAGGCGCTGGCGTTCCTTCCGGTCTTCTTCGCCGGAGGCTACCGCACGCAAACGCAGGACTTCCTTGTTTGGTCTGTGGGTAGGTTGACTGGTCTTATCCCAGACCTGACTGACTAGCGTCAGTAGCAGTGAATGTTTCAAAGAACATTCATTTCTTTTTGGAAGCCGTGTCACAAGAAAGAACTGAATTTTCCGATTCCGTTAGTGGAAAGTTAGCTCACATTTGGCACTAGCTAGTCGTCGAGTCCCCCTCCCCCGGCGCCGGTGACTGAGCATCGGCTTCTGCTCCTCTCCACTCTTGTGGTACAGAGCTGGTGGCGTGTACTTGAGATTGCAAATAGGCAAGGGGCAGCTTGACTGAATTTATGCCCAGATTGTAAAGCTTCTGGTTTAAAAGTTTGGGGTAAACATTTCGGGAAGGAATGTGTTGTGGGCCTCCAGAAGCCAGTGCTTAGGACGTGGTAGTGCCAGGGAAACGAGCAAACGTTTGTTTTAGCATTTCCTTGCGCTTTCTTAAACTTTTTAAGAGAACAGGTCAAATCTGCATAGGTGCTTGAGACCGAAAAAGAGAAGTTGGTGGGACGTGGTTGAGAAATGTGTAAAGTTATCTCGTAATTGGCTGTAGAGAGTCTGAAGTTTTAAGACCTGTTTAATGGCCCTGAGAGTGCTATGCAAAGATGTATACTTTTCAGATACTAAGTTACGGTCTTTAAAGAAGAATAGGTTTACTGCGGTGTCTGGTTCAGTCCCTAGAGCATGCAACTCTTGATCTCCGAGTCTCGATTTCAAGCCCCACCGTGGGCGAAGAGCTAACTTTAAAAAAAAAAAAAAAAAAAAAAAAAAAAGTTTACCAAAAACATTGGAAGCCTGATGAATTTCTACTTACCTGTAATTGCTCAATAAAGAGTGCTCAAGAATGTTGTTGTTTACAAGGTTTCCCCTTTAGCTGAGCTAAAGTCTAGAGGCAAGTATCTCTTTTGCCTTTTTTTTTTTCCTTTTTAACGTAAGCTCAAGAGTTAACGTGCTATACCACTTAGCCAGCCAGACGCCCCGCCGCAAGTATCTCTTGATGTTTTCTGTTAGCCAGCAGTTAAAAGCATTTGGGAACGAATTCTCTTAAGCCTATATTTATTAGGGATAATTGAAAGTCTGGCCTTTAAATGAGGCACAACGACATAATTAAATCACCTATAACAATCGTATAATAGTATAACCTCATTACCTTAAGACCCTACTACTCTAGTTTGGAATTTGGACAGGAATTGGACAAAAGCTTCAGTCTTAGGTAGTGCAAATTAACGGTGTAATGATCACGAGATGCTGGAAGTAGGAAGAGGATCTTTTAAGTGGTTTGGAACATCCATTTATATACATTAAATTAGGATTCTTCTTAGATCTTTTTTAAGGCAAGGCCACCATGGACCTTTCCCTCTAACATTTGAAAAAGAACTTTTCCCTTTTATGTATCTTAAAGGTCAGTTGTTACTAAACTCTGCCATTTCCCTCTCCTTTCTTCCTGTTAGCCTGAATTGGTATGATTTTTACTAGGAAGCTTAGAAACACTCTAAAATTCTGCATCAGTTGAGACTATTTTCATTTTTATTGACTATTAAAAAATAGGGGCACCTGGGTTGGCTCAGTGGGTTAAAGCCTCTGCCTTTGGCTCGGGTCATGATCCCAGAGTCCTGGGATGGAGCCCCGCATCCGGGTCTCTGCTCAGCAGGGAGCCTGCGTCCCTGCCTACTTGTCACCTCTTCTGTCAAATAAAATCTTTAAAAAGAAAAAAGAAAGTGCTATAGAGAACAAAGTGTAGGCTTTGTTTCAAATATTTTAATTTGTATTTTTCCAATAACTGTTCTATACAGTAAGAGAGTAAAGAAGGAAATTAGACAATTTGTGAGGTGAGGGCTAGGACAGGGTATTGGTGCTGGGGTATGTTTTAGTAACCCACTAGAAATACCACACGAATGAGAGGAACAGTCAAGAATGTCTTGGTAGGTGGCGCTTGGCTGGCTCGGTCAGTACAGCATGCCACTCTTGATCTAAGAATGGTGAGCTCAAGCCCACATTAGGGGTAGAGTTGAGTTTACCAAAAAAAGAAAAAAAAAAAGTGTTGATAGGAATAACTAAGAATTTTTCCTCCAGATTTTCCCAGAATGTGAAATTTCCACTGTTAAAATCCATTTCTAGATGTCAGAATTTTTTGTTTACAAATAGCATCAGGAATTTGTGTAAAGAAATTAAAGCTCTGAATATAAAATCTTTTTATCATGTTCTAATATGTAGTCCTGATACTGTAGTCCTTCTAAATTGGGCCTAAGAATTTTGTGGCATAGATCCTTGGGAGGAGGGGAGCATCAGCAATATGGAGTGCATAGGAGTAGGAAATACTGATATGAGTAAACCTAAAGTGGCAGAAACCATAATTAGAGCTTTGCATTTGCTGCTGTCAAGCAGAGTTCCTCACACGGTCCTGTTTTTAACTATTTCTATTTTTGCTGTTCCTAATCTTCACCAGATAGGTGATTTGGAAGTTTCCCTCTCTGTAGAAACCAATTTGTTTTCTTTAGATTTCCCACAAAACTTTTAGAACTTAAAGTCTCAATGGTTCAAAGGTTTATTTCCCTTCCCCTCAGTCAAGTCTGCAGATATTATAAATAGAAATGCCACAAGTTTAGGTCATTTTGTTTTTTAATATATATATGTATTTTTTTTTTGGTAATGTATGTCAGGACTGAGATTAAGTCCTATTTTAAGGACTGTCTTGACTGACTCCTTTCATTGCAATTTCAGTTACCAAATCCAGTCCTCAAAAATCAAGAACAGAACGATGTATAGTTGCTTAGGACCATTAGCAATTTAAATCTGTATAAATCTAGTTGGACTAAATACGGAGTGGTGCATAATTTATCTAAACTAAGACCTTTCTAAAGTGAAGGGGGAGCTGATGTTAAAATAATAATAATCAGCTAAATAATAATCAGCTGATGTTAATTGATCTAAAACCCGGGACTAAAATAATCAGCTGATGTTAATTGATCTAAATAATCAGCTAAATAATCAGCTGATGTTAATTGATCTAAAACCCGGGACTATACCTAGCAAACCAGTATAATCACTGACTTTTGGAGGCCTCTCCTCAAATCACAACTTAATTTTGGAAAATTCTACACTCTCTATATGGTGATAACCCTGTGCTCTTTCCCCACCACTGTAGTCTCCTGGGTTTCTGTTTTCTCCTCACCCAACACTAAATAATGCTAGGCACAAGTGGTTTAGATAAGGCAGTGATCCAAACTGTGGATTTCCATGGGCTTCCTCAGGTGAAATGGGTATATAAAGGAATTTAGAGAGTAATTCTATTCTCTGCAGAAACATTCAAGATCACAGATAGGACCATATATTGACTTTAAAATCAGAAAAAAAAAAAAAGACTTTTTCAAATTGGCAAATGAAAAAAAGGGTAACAGTCATCTATGCTAGCTTTAATAAATTTGTAAACTCAGCCATTCTGTACTATAGATGGCAGTGTAGTCTGCAGGAACTAATTCTATTTTGCTTTAAGATTCTCTTTTCAGAAAAAAATACCTGGCCAGTAGAATCAGCAATACATACAATAGTAAAAATGTTAAAAAAAAAGAAAAGGAAAACACACCCTATTTAATAGCCTAAGGCAACCACCTGCTTCCACATAAGTTGGATATAATTGACAAAGTTGTTTTTCTTTAGAAAAGGTCAGAAGAGATTAATGTGCTATTTTTAATAATACAAATACATGGGGTTGATTATATAAGTTATCCTGTAAAATATATCCATAACTTTTCACAGAAGGCGTAAGGTTTTTTGTTTTTATATAGTGAATTGCTATGACAGTGTCTTGCTTTTGTAAACTAAAGGTCTAATGTCCTCCTGAAAGATAACCACATATAAAACGTAAGTTGAGACACTAAGTCTAAGGGCTGTTAATTTCTGGCTTCAAACAGCAGCATAAATGAATTCCTTTGAATTGTCTTTTGTAACCAAGTACCCTTTACTAATATCACATTGATGCATATTCCTTCAGTCATTTAGTATTTATTGAATAGTCTACTATGTGCAAGGCACTCACCCATGGCCTGACAGACCACATTCAAGTACAAAGAATCATCAGATCCATTCCAAATCAAAGCGTAAGAACACTTTGAACAACAACATAGAGTGGTCATAATGATGAAGTAAGCAGAACATACTCAACATACATTAAAAGGTGATCTTTCTAACTTTTGATATTCCTGGGGACAGTACTCCTTTAGGAAGTCAGCTGTGTTAAATTCACGTCCATGGATGGCACTGCTTTCTAAGGCAGAATTCTTCATTCCAAAGCCTTTCTTTCACTTTGTCAGTACCTTCTACATTTGAGTTTGTTGAATGGAAACATGTTTACCCATTATGCTACTAAACTCAAAATCTATCATTTGCATATATATTTTTTTGACTTCTGTTGTTTTGTCAGGTTATATACAGAATTTTAGCACCACAGAAGGGAAAAAGAGGTTTGGGCTGAGAAGCTCTACTTTACCAAATTATGTAACCTAAAAGCAACTTCATACCTTAGTTATTTTAAGGGTGCTCTTAAAAAAGAGCCAGAAAGACTGGTCTGACAAAAAGCTGGACCAGCTCTGGCTGCTGTGTAAGTCTAGTTCTGGGAGTTCCTGGCCCAGAACACCACCTCCACCGTGACTGCTGCTTTCTTCCAGACACAAACTGCATAGCTCTGTCCCACCACTAGACAGTGTCTG